AAGGAAAAGCTGCAAGTATGGACACGGCTCCTCCTCTTGCCCGGGCACGGCTCCTCCACTTGCCCGGGCACGGCTCCTCCTATTGCCCGGACACGGCTCCTGCTCTTGCCCGGGCACGGCTCCTCCTCTTGCCCGGGCACGGCCCAGACGTCCACTTCAGTTAATCAGGGCCACAAAGTTCACGTAATAAATATCGAGTTCGTAGCACGATCTTAATAGATTCATTAAGCTATTGTGAGTTTCCTTGTCTTACATAAACTGCCTCTGTGTGAGGTGTTGACTCAAGACCCAAGACCGGGTCGAGGGCCGGGCCGAGGACCGGGCCGAGGGCCGAGTCGAGGGCCGGGTCGAGGGCCGGGTCGAGGGCCGGGTCGAGGACCGGGTCGAGGACCGGGTCGAGGGCCGGGTCGAGGGCCGGGTCGGTCCCACCACCTCCTCCAGCACGAGGCCGGCGTGGGACCAGCGAAGCATCAGGGGCGAGGGCGACCCTAACAAGGCAGCAGCAGTAGCAGTAGGAGGATCCGGCGCCCCGGAAGGTGGGATCCGACACCATGTCTCATATTGGGATCCCTCGTGAAGGAGGTCACCGCCAGCCACTCTACATCCATATCTTATTTTTAATGCTGAGGACTCATACATGTGCCGGGGAGGGTGTGGGGCAGGTGTGGGGGGAGGGTGTGAAGCAGGTGTGGGGGGGAGGGTGTGAGGCAGGTGTAGAGCAGGGTGTGAGACAGGTGTGGGGGGGAGGGTGTAAGGCAGATGTGCAATACATCACCAACTCTGTCCTGACTCTTCTCATTAGTTTTGCATCATCTACATAAATTATGAAGTACCCAGTTTCCTGTGTCAGGCTGTTAACATATATTAGAAACAGGATAGACCCCTAGAACCGGCCCTTGTGCTACTCCACTCTGATGTCACTACTCTGACTGTAACCCCCTTGCTTACTTCCTCTGAGATATTCTCTGACCCACCTTTGCATTCTTCTTGATTCATCAACCTGTTTATCTATAGCTTGTGTATGGTTCTCTTTTTGCGGTAGAGTGCCCACGATTCCTTACAGTTGAGGTAGAAACAGTCTGCTTCATCCTATTCCGTCATATTGGATTTTTGTCGTCGTATTATAATATTATAGTAAGGGGTCTGCACAATGCTTCAGCTGCCTCTTCTAGTATCCAAGGGGATATTTTATTTGGTCCCTCAGCTTATGTCACATCCAGCTCCTGCAGTTGCTTCTATATTTCTTCTGGTGTCACTGTCATTTCACTGAGGCTCTCCTGTGGAAGTGCCCGTGAGGTTTGGCTTCTGAGCTCTAGTGGTAAATCAGATTCCAGCTTAAATGCTTCCTGGAACCTTTTGTTAGTTAAGATCCTCACTTATCTTCTTATCAACAGACAAGCAGACAGACAAGATAGGTAGGCAGACAGACAAGATAGGCAGGTAGGCAGACAGACAGGCAGTCAGCCAGGCAGACAGGCAAGGAGGCAGACAGACAGACAGACAGACAAGTAGGCGAGCAGGCAGATATGGACGGATATTTATGAGAAGAGAGAAACTTGGAAGTGAAGAAGGGTTCATTAAGCCAGTATTGGGATGATCAAAGATTAATTTGCATCTTTAATCATCACGGCCAATATCCCCGTGAGTTGATTATCTCGTCACTGCTCTTGGGAAAACTGACGAGGATATCCCGGACATATTCAATTATCAGCGGGGAGACGGCTGGAAGACTTTGAAACAGTTCCCCTTTTAAAAACAGGATTACTTGCATTTTCTTTAATATTAGTTCGCAAGCCTCAGATTTTTTGTGTGTTCCATTTAGTATTTATTTTCCTTTAATAATTAATTATGTGTCTGCTTTTGTCCATGGGTTGAACTTCAGCTTCTGGGTCCCGCCTGTCAACCCTTTAGGCGGTTAAGTCTTTGAAGGTCTGCTTTCACCACTTCATTCCCTGTTCACCTAGCAATAAATAGGTTCCTGGGAGCTAGGAGACTGCTGTGGGTTGTTTCCTGGTATATATATATATATATATATATGTCGTACCTAGTAGCCAGAACGCACTGTTTGGCCTACTATTCATGGCCCGATTTGCCTAATAAGCCAAGTTTTCCTGAATTAATATATTTTCTCTAATTTTTTTCTTATGAAATGATAAAGCTACCCTTTTCATTATGCATGAGGTCAATTTTTCTTTATTGGAGTTAAAATTAACGTAGATATATGACCGAACCTAACCAACCCTACCTAACCTAACCTAACCTATCTTTATAGGTTAGGTTAGGTTTGGTAGCCGAAAAAGTTAGGTTAGGTTAGGTTAGGTAGGTTAGGTAGTCGAAAAACAATTAATTCATGAAAACTTGGCTTATTAGGCAAATCGGACCTTGCATAGTAGGCTGAGAAGTGCGTTCTGGCTACTAGGTACGACATATATATATATATATATATATATATATATATATATATATATATATATATATATATATATATATATATATATATATATATATATATATATATATATGCGCTTCCTGTACCCAACAAAACGAATTAATCTCAATGTGTCCCCCTCCGCGTGTCATAGATGTCCCTCCCATGTGTCACGTGTGTCTCACCCACTTGTTCCCTATGCGCGTCGCATGTGTCCCCTCCCCGTGTCCCCTCCATGTGTCCCACGTGTGTACAGACTGTCACCTCCACTGAATATGTTGTGGGAGCGGCCGTCAGGAGCAGCTGAACACACCGACAACAATAAAATAACATAACCGCACCCCCATTTTAGTCTCCAATATTGTCTCCCTCTGATATAAATATACACTTGTCCTTCAGACTCAACATGGCGGTCTTATCGAAGTCTGCCACCTGCTCCTCAAGCTTCGTCTCTGTGGTAAGCTTCGGGTTCTCGAGCCTGGATCGGTTAGCTTCAGCCCCTTAAGCTTCAAGTATCGAAACAACAGCCTGGCCTCATAGACAACAGCCTGGCCTCATAGACAACAGCCTGGCCTCATAGACAGTAGCCTGGCCTCATAGACAACAGCCTGGCCTCATAAACAACAACAGCCTGGCCTCATAGACAACAGCCTGGCCTCATAAACAACAACAGCCTGGCCTCATAGACAACAGCCTGGCCTCATAGACAACAGCCTGGCCTCATAGACAATAGCCTGGCCTCATAGACAACAGCCTGGCCTCATAAACAACAGCCTGGCCTCATAGACAACAGCCTGGCCTCATAAACAACTGTCTGGCCTCATAAACAACAACCTGGCCTCATAAACAACTGTCTGGCCTCATAAACAACTGTCTGGCCTCATAAACAACTGTCTGGCCTCATAAACAACTGTCTGGCCTCATAAACAACAACCTGGCCTCATAAACAACTGTCTGGCCTCATAAACAACTGTCTGGCCTCATAAACAACAATAGCCTGGCCTCATAAACAACTGTCTGGCCTCATAAACAACTGTCTGGCCTCATAAACAACAACCTGGCCTCATAAACAACAGCCTGTCCTCATAGACAACAGCCTAGCCTCATAAACAACAGCCTGTCCTCATAGACAACAGCCTGGCCTCATAGACAACAGCCTGGCCTCATAGACAACAGCCTGGCCTCATAGACAACAGCCTGTCCTCATAAACAACAGCCTGTCCTCATAGACAACAGCCTGGCCTCATAGACAACAGCCTGGCCTCATAGACAACAGCCTGGCCTCATAGACAACAGCCTGGCCTCATAAACAACAGCCTGGCCTCATAAACAACAGCCAAATACTGTTGTTCTAACATTTCTCGAGCAGTGCTTCGTTTCGTTACTGTGAGTTGACACCTTTCTAAATGCTTCGGCCAAGTATTGCAATGCAACATGTGGAGCTGTTGAAATGCAGCATACAACGGCCTCTCCTCATAAACAAAGGTCAAATGAAATTCCCTTTATTCACAACTGATGATATTTTGAACATTTCTCGAACACTGTTCGAAACGCAGCTCCATAAATGCTTCATATACGTATTACAGATACTAATATTTGCCAACTGTTGTTTAAGATTCGCTACTTGGAATAAAATGTTCCAAGTAGCACGAGCTATGGTGAGCCCGTAGTGGACTTGTTTTGTTTTTTGAAAAAATTGCCAACAGAACCTAAACGCTAGCTGATCTAGGCCTAACTATACTCCAAATGTTAATCGTAGCGCCTGTAGTTGTCCCAGACTCATTCGTGAACACTTCCTGGACACTGGCCATTAATTCATCACAAATTTCCTTATTATTTTCAGTATGTTCTCATTCCCCTCTTGCATTGTCTAGTCACCTGGTCATTCATGGTCATTTCCCCTCAGATATGGCTATGTACTAACTTTGATTGCTTCTCTGCTTTGGATGCAATGTCTTTTTTATCATTTTTTATTATCTTCGGGAAATAAATACATAATACCAATTATGTATTGGTTTCAATCTCTGTTTCATCTATTCCGATTCTCTTCTGTTTTCTGCATATTTTTCCACTCCCTCTTGCATTTACTCTGAGCTGTTTGCCATTGAATATTGAGCCAAGGGTTTCTGACTTGATTCATCATTTCCTGAACTGTCTTTCCTCAACATTCTTCCTCCCATTGTAAATTCCCAGATGCTCTCCCATGTAATTTACTTTTCAGAAGCCTACTTTCCTCTTCCTGACCTGTGACTTATGGCCATTGCTTTTAGTTCAGTTATATAGACAAAGACCAGTGCACAGTGGTCTATGGCTCCTGGTGGTACTTCGTACTAATAGTTCTCGAAGCCTTCCTCGTTCTTTGTGAAGATCATCTTTGACATGTTATGTTGGACAAAAAAAAAAAAAATTCCATAACATTTTTTTTAGTCTTAACGGCACTACGGGCTCACCATAGCCCGTGCTACTTGGAAATTTGTTCCAGGTAGCGAATCTTTAACAACATAACATTTAATAATTTTGCACTCCACCTATTTTCCTGCCATGTTGGTCTCTCGACACCCAATCTTTGTGTTCATGATTTAGATTTCCAAATATTAGTGTTTCCCTCACATTGTGTGTTGTGCTGCTGTTGCTGCTGTCTTATATGCTCACATTGTGTGTTGTGCTGCTGTTGCTGCTGTCTTATATGCTCACATTCTGTATTGTGCTGCTGTTGCTGCTGTCTTATATGCTCACATTGTGTGTTGTGCTGCTGTTGCTGCTGTCTTATATGCTCACATTGTGTGTTGTGCTGCTGTTGCTGCTGTCTTATATGCTCACATTGTGTGTTGAGCTGCTGTTGCTGCTGTCTTATATGCTCACATTGTGTGTTGTGCTGCTGTTGCTGCTGTCTTATATGCTCACATTGTGTGTTGTGCTGCTGTTGCTGCTGTCTTATATGCTCACATTGTGTGTTGAGCTTCTGTTGCTGCTGTCTTATATGCTCACATTGTGTGTTGTGCTGCTGTTGCTGCTGTCTTATATGCTCACATTGTGTGTTGAGCTGCTGTTGCTGTTGTCTTATATGCTCACATTGTGTGTTGTGCTGCTGTTGCTGCTGTTGCTGCTGTCTTATATGCTCACATTGTGTGTTGTGCTGCTGTTGCTGCTGTCTTATATGCTCACATTCTGTGTGCTGCTGTTGCTGTTCTCGTCTATGCCTGCCTTTTGGGTGTTTTTTTTTTATACCTGTCTAAGTCTCCTGTTGCTGAGTGGTCATAGTGTGTTTCCAGGCCCACTATCCGTGTTCCGTCAGCTCTCAGAGTTCCGGTGATGTAGTCTGTATATCCATTTGTATTACTAGTTCCTCAAACTTCCATTTTGCATTGTGCTAAGAGTGCCACTCCTCCCGAAGTCATTTTTATTTTGGTTTCAATTATTATTTTCAATGGTTGAAACAGTTTTTTTAATAATTTTCTTATATTTCATCGACTTTGTTTGGGACGCCATCAGCATTGGTATACTGCATCTTGAGGTTCTTCTTGGATCCACTTGTGACGTCAGTGCTGAGAACACTCCTGCCTATTTGAGTCTTTTGGTGAAGGTCGCAGCTGAGATGTGGCTGCAGCGTTGTGTCGGGTAATTGGTTGTGAGGTAAGATGAGGGGACGTAGGTGTCAATGAAGGGTATTGTGAGGCAAGCATGAGCTGGGAGGAGGAGGAGGAGGGTTCAGTCGCTGGGAGGGACTTGAAGATTGAGGAACTTAGAGGCAGATGTGTGTGTGTGTGTGTGTGTGTGTGTGTGTGTGTGTGTGTGTGTGTGTGTGTGTGTGTGTGTGTGTGTGTGTGTGTGTGTGTGTGTGTGTGTTGGGGGGTATGCTTCCCTATCTCTGCCTGCTGGGAGACACATTTCACGTCAATGTTTATACAAGGGGCGTTTACTCCTGTCAACGCTGTGTATTTTGGTTGGCCCAAACACCTCCGCTCTCAGTTCGTTCAACTTGGTACCAACCCCAGTGCTTGGTACCACTTGGTACCACCCCCAGTGGTACAGTACCACTTGGTACCACCCCCAGTGGTACAGTACCACTTGGTACCACCCCCAGTGGTACAGTACCACTTGGTACCAACCGCAATGCGTTGCAAGTTACTTGTTTACGTCCTTCTAGCTCGTTATTGACCCCTCATGTGGAGCAGAGAGTTCTTGTCCATCTCGTCGGTTCCCCTCATCTACAGTTGAAGGCCACGTGGTTGATGGGCATAACCTCACCCAAATTGAGGTGAGGTTATCCCTCACTGATTTCAAACTGATGTCAATCCCCTCGGTCACCCAAATTGACCGCGGGGATTGAAATAAGTTTATTGAGGTATAAATACACACAAAGGGATGAAGTAGCTCAAGCTATTCTCACCCCGTTTCGGCAGCGAGGGATAGTCTGAGGTCGGGGACGGACATAGGTTGGTCGGAGCCGCCACAAGTCAAAAGGGCACAGCGTCAAATATTCACCTAAATATTTTCAAAACAAACTGTTCAAAACCATTGTTTTCTTATAGTAATAGGCAGCGTTATTTACTGATCTTGGGTAAATGAACAGGAATTTCTTGGTGTCACAATTTGTCCGTACTCCCATAAAACAGAGTTTCACACAGCGTCTAAGGTTTCTTATTAAGTCACGGCCCTGTATCAGAGTCAGGAGTAACTGTTAACATTTGAGTATTTGACAACACTGAGCTTCTCTTAGTGGCGACCTCCCATATATTAGACGGTTAGATAGATAGAGACCGAGAGAGAGAGGCAGTGACAGACACACACAGACAGTTGATGCATGCATAGATTGATGTAGGGATAGATTGGTGAAGGGATAGGTGGATCGATAGATAAATTGATGGATAGATACATGGAGATAAAGAGGAGTAAGTGGCTGGATAGAGTAGAGGAGTAGGTGGATGGAAAAATATATATTTGGATAGATGGATGGATCTATCCATCTATCCAGCAGCAGCAGCATGAACCAAGGTGACAGGAGCTTCTTGGGGAGGGAGGGAGGCCCCTGAGATAAGCCTGACAGCGGATCAACAGAGATGGTACAGTGCCAACTCAGAGCTCGGACGGCTGTCCTTGTACCAATTGCAAGTCGTACTAATTAGCAACAAAACGCTAATTAGGCCGTGAGTCAAGATTAGACAAATATACTGTATTACCATCACGGGTCCACGAGGCGAGGGGCCATGTTATGTTCGTGTTTGGCCTCGGCTGTATTTTTGACCAGCGTTGATTTTATTATGATTTTCTTTTGTAACACAGGTGAGTACAGGATGAATACCTTCCGACTCCTGTTAGTTGTCGCTGCTCGCTCACCTGTCCCACCTGCACACAAGGGTTGTTATAACATTTGCTACCCCTCAAGCTTACCGTATCTTGCCAGAGGAAAGTGCACACACACATATTTTAAGGGCATCTTTATTTGGCCAAGAAAGGGCTTTCTTAATTCAGTGTTACGATTCTGCGCATATTTTATATATATCTTATGTGTGTCCCGGGTGGTGTTCCATGTGGTGTCTTTTTCTTTTTTGCAGGGATATTCCTGCGTGGCCCCTAAGCCTCTGGCTGGCCCACTGCGCGGGCCCTAAGCCTCTGGCTGGCCCACTAAGTGTTGCTTGTTTCTGTTTTACTTGGGCGGAGGATGAGTATTTATGATTCGTATGGTCGCTTCAGTAAGATTTTGCCATATGTGTTTAACAACTTCTTCTGCTCTGTTGAATCTAAGTTGAAATCTTAATGGGTTTGTAACTGTGCACTGTGTTAGATAATGTTCCAGTGGTCTGTCGGGCATTTCTCCACAGTGCTAGCACTGGTGCTCATCAGTGGGCGCCGTAGCAACATCACACACCGTCACCTAGTGACCCTCGCTGGGTCAGCGTTCTTCATAAACCAGATCCTCAATAAGTTCATGTGTCGTCCTGTCAAGGGGGCGGCCAACACCTGCCAGCGACGCCTCTCGACCAATAGACGAGTCTGAAGCACTATAGAATATACTCGTGGTACGTGGTGGCCACGTGACCATCATCTCTGCACATGTCTTGTTCAGTTCCATATTGTGATAAAAGAAGAAAAACCACAGGAGTTCAACATTTCCCTCAAAAAAATTATCGATAAGACTACCAAGCCTTCTGTAGATGCTGGCTGGCCCTTGAGAAAATTCAGATAAGTGTACCACACAAGTTGAAGTTCAAGTATGTTTATAGAGACAAGAAAGAAATACATCTCAAAGGGATAAAGTAGCTTAGGCTATTTCTACCCCCCCCCCCCCCTTCCTATGCCACACAGCCACTCACTAGCTGCCATATGGGCGTGTTTTTTTCTCATGAAACTGTATGTCATATTCCTAATATTAAATCACTTGTCGCAGTATGTCAATTGCCCCATATCCTACCGCAGGCAAGTTTTCATACCGGTTACTCTGTTGCCACATATTTCAGTCTCAGAGCGCCATCAGGCACCTCACTCGCCCACCTGGCATTATCAGGCTGCTGGCAACATTGGGCTGTCGAGACATCATTTTGCGCGGGAAATTTGATTCCTCGGGTTTCCGCCTTGCCAACGGTTCTTAACCGCCATATTTTTCCGTCCCTCCGGACGTGCCAACTTTATTTTTGGTCGAGTTTTAGATGATGGCTGAATATTTTTATATTTATATATTTATGGAATATTCTCCACACCTTAAGAATCTTTAAATTAACAAGATTTTCCTTTCCTTGTTGGTTTATTCGGTGTTGGGGTTAAGGCCTATCAGCTTCGGGAGGGATATAGCCACCTCAGATATAGCCACCTCAGATATAGCCACCTCAGATATAGCCACCTCAGATATAGCCACCTCAGATATAGCCACCTCAGATATAGCCACCTCAGATATAGCCACCTCAGTAACTTACTGACTATCCAGTAAGTAATACTTTAGTCCTAATGATAGTTTAGGATAACAAAATAAACTCAGGGTATATACACCGAGAGCCATAATATATCTGTGCTATATCTTTCTATAAAAAATCTATGCAATATTATATTGCATAATATATATATATATATATATATATATATATATATATATATATATATATATATATATTGTGACGATAATCTCCTTCAAGAGATTGAGCCTGCTCTTCCCTCCAAAATTACGTCTTCACAATTATATAAAAAGACTATGGAAGAAATGTCCAACAACGACAACAACACCAGCAAGGCTTGCAAGGGTGAGCAGAAACGTATGCAGCCCGCCACCTGTTCGGACCCAAATCACCAAACTACCCGTTGATCGCTACGGCTCCGCTGATTGGTCGCCGGTCTGGCTGCACCTGCACTCGCCCCCCAATACTACCCGATGTCTGGGGTCGCCCCAACATCAGTCTTCAGAATGTTCCGTGCTTTCGTAGCCAGCACACCTCCCAGCTAGACTCTAGAGTGTACTGAGAGAGGTGGTGGCTTTAAGCCAATATTCCAGCACCTCCCACTTACTGTTGTATTGCACTTCTTGTTATTTTGCCTTAACGTAACTTTTCATTGTGTCATTTAAGTATTCTTATTATTTTGATTCATTGATTTTATTATACATATTTGTTTGTCCATATTTTCATGTTTTGATTTATTTAACGTAATTAAAATTTCATTGTTAAAGTTTTACTTGTGTTTTGTGTGTCTTCTCCTTACCTTACCACAGACGAAGTTCCAGTTTTTCTATTTTTTTTTATAACTATGTGACGAGGCCATACCCCTAGCCTTAAACAGCCGAACACCAACGCGTTACCGTCACAAGTTTTATGGGGGCCTGTCCGGGAGTTGAACCCGGGACCTCTCGCCAGAGTCCACCTGGATTGTCCCTACGTGAACGGGGAAGTCCAAGTCGCCGTCAGGGAAAAGCCTTTTCCCATGCCTGGAGTGCAACTTCTCCTAGGCAACGACTTGGCAGAAGACCTGCAACCAACCAACCTGATCGTCATGGACAAACCCCAGGTGTGTAACTCTGTGCCAAGTAACCCTATTCTTGAGTATGTTCCAGCAGAGGTTCAAGAGAGTGAAGTTTCTCCTCCGGTTCTCGTGACCACCCGTGCACAAGCCGCACGTCCACAGCCAGCTGACTCTACTGCTACCGCTGTCCCTCAAGACCCTCAGAAACTACCCCCGCATCTGACCAAGTTGGAGTTCCGTAAGTTGCAGAGGGAAGATCTTACTTTAACACCATTGTTTTTCCAGGCTGAGACTCAACCCGACAGTATTCCTGGGTTCTTCCTAGAGAACGACTTGCTCTACCGCCGATATAGACCCAGTAAACTGAAGGAGGAGGACGATTGGGCCAACACCGAACAACTTGTGATTCCCACCAGCCTGCGGCCCACTATTCTACACCTGGCCCACGGATCATTCTCCCACTACGGCTTCAACAAGACTTACCATGGGATTCGTCAAGACTACTACTGGCCAGGTATGGTAAATAACGTCAAACAGTACGTAAAACAGTGTCATACATGTCAGATGGCAGGCAAACCGAACGTCTCCATTCCCAGAGCACCACTGATTCCCATACAGGTGCCTGCGGAACCTTTCCACAGACTCATAATAGACTGTGTTGGTCCTTTACCTCGGACCAGTTCAGGTAACGCCTACATCCTAACCATCCTGTGTCCTACCACCAGATTTCCCATAGCAGTTCCAGTGAAGAACATCACGGCTGCTACGGTTATCAAACATCTACTGAAGATCTTCACTCAATACGGATTTCCCAGGGAGATTCAAAGTGACTGTGGCACCAACTTCACCAGTGATCTCTTCAAAAGAACACTGGAGGAGTTCAACATCAAACAGGTATTGTCCAGCCCCTATCATCCTGCTTCACAGGGTTCTCTTGAACGTAGTCATCAGACCATCAAAGCACTCTTGAAAAAGTTTTGTAGTGAAACCTCAAAGGATTGGGATAAGCAGATTGACCTAATAATGTGTATTTTCAGAAGTCTCCCCAATGAGTCCCTAGGAGTATCTCCTTATGAGATGCTCTACGGCCGTAAGTGCCGTACTCCCCTTAAGGCTTTCAAAGACTCTCTCAGAGATGCCACCTTCAGTGAGCATCAGAATGTGCCCCAGTTTCTTCAAAACCTTCAGCACATTCTAGAGAGAGTCCACCGCTTTGCCCATGATAATCTATTGAAAGCCCAGGTGAGAATGAAGACTCATTACGACCAGACCAGCAAAGTAAGAAAATTCAAGCCGGGAGACTTCGTCCTTGCTTATTTCCCTATCCCAGGTTCACCTTTACAAAACAGATTTTCAGGACCCTACTGCGTCAAAGAGTGCAGGAATAATAATAATTATGTGATAGAGACTCCAGATAGGCGGCGGAAGACCCAGCTGTGCCACGTCAACCTCCTGAAGCAATATAATGGTACTCCTCCCACTGTCTTGATTAACTATTCCACATTCACAGAACCCTACATCCACAGTGAGACCTTCCCAGCTTCTCCTCCCGAAAGCACTGACAAGGAGTCAGCGCTTTCTAATTCCGAAATCCTTAATGATCTTCCCAATACTTTCAGGATAATCATAGTGCACCTCTCGTCAAGATCTTCAGAGAACATCAAGAGTTGTTCAGAGATGATCCCCAAGAGTGTAATGTTACCCAGCACGACATCCAACTGCTCCCCGACACCCGGCCGATTCGTCAACCCTTCTACCGAATCAGCCCGAGCAAGAAGGAAGTCATGCGTGCTGAGGTGCAGTACCTCTTGGACCATGGACTGGCTACACCTTGTGAGTCCCCCTGGGCCTCACCTTGTATCTTGGTGCCCAAACCCCAAGGTAAGGTGCGGTTGTGCACTGACTATCGAAAACTGAACTCTGTCACTGTCAAGGATGCTTACCCCTTGCCAAGGATAGATGACATCCTTGATGCCATTGGTAGTGCCCAGTACTTGTCCCAAGTGGACTTGCTTAAGGGGTACTATCAAGTGTGTCTAACGGAGCGCGCTAAAGAGATATCTGCCTTCATCACTCCTTTTGGACTTTTCAGATATGAACGCCTTCCTTTCGGACTATGTAATGCCCCGGCCACCTTTCAAAGAGCTGTCAACCGTGTCATCCAGGGCTTGGATAACACATACGCCTACCTGGACGATATCGTCGTAGCCTCCAACTCCTGGAGTGAACATCTGCTCCAGCTGCGACGTCTGTTCTCCAAGCTCCTGACAGCCGGCCTCACCATCAACCTGGGCAAGTCCACTTTCGCGAAAGGTAAAGTGCGTTATCTGGGTCATGTTATTGGGAGTGGCAGCATAGCTCCGTTAGACTCACACACTCAAGCCATCCTACAGTATCCACAGCCTACCACCAGGAAGCAGCTCCTGCGCTTCCTTGGTCTTGCCTCTTACTACCGTAGGTTTGTGAGGAATTTCAGTACAGTCGCCACACCTCTAATTCTATTAACCAGTCCCAAGCAACGGTATAATTGGACCATGCAGCAAACCGTTGCTTTCGAACAACTCAAATTCCTCCTCTGTTCTAACCCCATTCTCGCCTCTCCAGATATCACCAAGCCTTTCGTCCTTCATGTCGACGCCAGTGGTACCGGCGTTGGTGGTGTCCTGATGCAACTACGAGGCGAGGAGGTTCTACCTGTCAGCTACTACAGCTACAAACTGAAACCACACCAGAGGAACTACAGCACTATTGAAAAGGAGCTACTATCCATCGTCCTGAACCTCCAACACTTCGCTCCGTACCTACAAGGCGCCAGGTCTACCACCATCTTCTCAGACCACAACCCTCTCCGCTTCCTACATCAAGCCCAATTCACCAACCAGCGTCTTCTACGATGGGCTCTGTATTTACAAGACTTCAACCTGGAGATCCGCTATATCAAGGGTTCTGACAACACCATAGCCGATGCCCTCTCCAGAGTTTATGAAGTAGAAGCGACTCCATCCATTACTCCACCACATAACGACGTACTTCTTCCAGAACCGCAGGCTTCGGGGGAGAGTTGTGACGATAATCTCCTTCAAGAGATTGAGCCTGCTCTTCCCTCCAAAATTACGTCTTCACAATTATATAAAAAGACTATGGAAGAAATGTCCAACAACGACAACAACACCAGCAAGGCTTGCAAGGGTGAGCAGAAACGTATGCAGCCCGCCACCTGTTCGGACCCAAATCACCAAACTACCCGTTGATCGCTACGGCTCCGCTGATTGGTCGCCGGTCTGGCTGCACCTGCACTCGCCCCCCAATACTACCCGATGTCTGGGGTCGCCCCAACATCAGTCTTCAGAATGTTCCGTGCTTTCGTAGCCAGCACACCTCCCAGCTAGACTCTAGAGTGTACTGAGAGAGGTGGTGGCTTTAAGCCAATATTCCAGCACCTCCCACTTACTGTTGTATTGCACTTCTTGTTATTTTGCCTTAACGTAACTTTTCATTGTGTCATTTAAGTATTCTTATTATTTTGATTCATTGATTTTATTATACATATTTGTTTGTCCATATTTTCATGTTTTGATTTATTTAACGTAATTA